TTCCCCTTTTTTTTTTTTTTTTTTTTTTTTTTTGTACCGGGGATTGAACTCAGGTCCTTGCGCTTGGGAGGCAGGCCACCGAACCGCTGAGCTAAATCCCCGGCCCTGGTGTCCTCCATTTTTGATGGCCCCTGCCTTCCAGTGGATTTACCTGGGAAGATGAACTATCCAGGGTGTGTTGCTGCTGTTTAAAAAAAAAAGCTGCTACATGGAATTTTACTCAAATACACTGAGAAATGTTTTGGGAAGTCAGGATCTGGAAAGAGCGGGAGGTGGGGCCAGTCACCGGATATGATGGTCCCTTGAGTGGGCTTTGGAGCACGGTCTGGCTGCATCCCAGGGACTGACTTCAGTTCCAACAAGACAAGTTTTACTGGGGTGAGAGCCTCACAGGCTTTTCCCGCAGAGGTAGCGTTTCCTTAAAGAGATGTTACAATATAGGCTTAATCTTTTGGTTTATTCCTTGACGGAGCAACATTTTGGTAGAATATAAATTGAGTCTAAAAATGTGCAAAGGATTCAGGATTAAAAGGTTTACTCAGAATTAGGTGGGGATGGAGGAAGCTCCAGGCAGGGCTGTGCGTCTCTGCTGAGGGCTTTTGCTGTCTCTCAGGCGGGGTAAGTGGTTTCACTCTTCAAGTGTTCCTCACACCCACATTCCCAAGGCCCTGTTAGATGACTTATGAGCTTTGTCTCATTGAAATGTCATGATAAGGATTGTGACTCAGGTGGCAGATGTATCTTTATCTTTCTAGTTGAATACACCAAGGGCTTGAAAAATTAAGTAATTTGTCCAGGGGACACAACTAGAGCCTGTAAGTGGCATAGCTAGGACTACAGTCGTGGTTTATCTGACTCCAAAATGGAAAACTGTTTCAGGCTGCATTGCATAACACTGGGTCTGTTTCCTCTTTGGGCTGGTTTAGTATTTCCTGAGTCATCCATTCAGACAGACTATCCTTCCCACGTGGGTCTGCTCCTGCCCCCTTGCCTGTTTCTGCTCAGGCTGGAGACTGGTGTACTGTGCACCTGCTCTGCAGGGACCTGATGGGCTTCTGGGCCTCCAGTCCGCTGCCCCTCTGGCCTGGTTAGGTGTGCATCTCTCCTATGGGGCCCAGGCCAGATGATCGGGGCGATCAGGTTCACAGATCCAGTTTGCCCACTTGGTTCTCCCAGCTACTCAAGAACAAAGGACCACTTGTAGTCCTTCTGTCTCATGGAACTGATGCTTTAATATAGATTTTGGATGAAAAACTGAAGACCAGGAGACTACCAAATGCTTTCTTTATATGTGTGTGTGGCTACGGAAGAGAAGTGAGGTCCCAGATTTCCCTATCAAGGAAATAGACTTCAAGCCAACTGAACTCCGGAGGCTGGGGGTATCTGGTCATGAAAGGTGTGAGTGGGTAATAAGTTCCCCGTCTATGGAGGTGTGCACACAAAGGCCAGATATTTTTTGCGGGGGAGTGGTACTGTGCAACATGATGGGAGGTCAGACCTGATTCGTGTTCCTCAAGAGAAGACAGGGATCACTGAGGGTGCGTGGCCAGACACTACAGTGCTCCTCCAATCCCATCTTAACAAACAGACAGAGCTCAGGGTTTAGAGCAGCCTCACATTGAGGAATGCTGTTTGTCTTCCCTTGAATTTATTTTTTCAGTTACCATCTATTTATGGCAAGTGATGCTTTAGTTTTTCTTTTTGAAACTAAGACCAGGGAAGTGTTTTGAAAATAAACTTATTTAAGTAGAAGCAGACGACCTCAAGAGTGGTGCTGAGCATGGTGGCAGCAGGGGTGGCAGTGGCTGGAAAGCCAGCTCCAGCTTGCTGGCTCCCAGCCCCTCCTGGAGAATGGACACCTTTCCTTCCCTTCTCCTTCCTCCACCTCCTGTTCTCAACTGCTGGCAGGATTTTATGAGAGGGAGATCAGCCTTAACCCTATTCTTTGCAATGACTACAGTGCCTTTTACTTTTACCAGTCTCTCCATCCGGCTTTCCCAGCTCCCACACCAGGTTTCCTGGAACCCTTAGACTATAGTCAAGAAATTC